TACCGTAGCAAATACGTAGTGGAAAAGCTTGGCCGGTAAACGAACAACATCTTTTTAATAAGTGACATAGATCTTTTTTTTTTTTAAAAAAAAAGTAAACGATCTGGCTAGAAGTTCCTCAAATAAAACGGCTCGCTGACGACGGCGTAAAATAAAAGATACATATTCTACCATGTAATCTATGTTTACGTAATAGTGGTCCGTAAATAGCCTTCATTGTTTCGACGGCTGTTTGATATCAGTTACTATTGCGGTATGCATGCTATCTTATAAGTGGCATAGACATAGTAGCATGCGGTGGTCAGAAAGGCCGCAGTGGAAATCGTGAAATGTTCGTTTTCTTCACAGGGTAGGAATAGTTAAAGGTGATAAAAAAAAAATGTAGGATCTTGGAGCTAGAGGGTGAATAGTATAGAGCAGTGATAGCTATACTGTGGAAGGCATCACCCTAGTTTCTGCACGGAGACGCAAATATTTCTGCGGGTTGTTTCGAACAGATTACCAACAGTTTCCATTATAGGTGTATTCAAACGCAATTACATAGAAATGGTGTAAAATGTGGGCATCGATAATATTCTATATCGTGCGACTGAGGTCGTTGGCGCGCCATTATTGAATGATACTGCGCAAATATGTTATATATGCTTTGCCGGATCATAAACACATCTGGCGTATGGCTATGGTTGTTACCAAGAATATCGTATCAACAGCAACTGTCTGCCAAGGTTGTCATTGTTTCATTGCTGTCTTATTGACAACAATTGTCATGACAAAGTAGACTCACCTGAAATCTGCATTCATTTAGTAGCTCCGCACACTGTCCAACCAGCAAAAACAATCGAAGTTATGCACCGACTCTAATGCGTCGAATAGCGCGAAAATTTGAAACAACTCTGAAGAGTATATTCACAAGACAATGTTGACTGGGTGTATAAAGAAGTAAACAGGAGTTATGACGAGCTCTACGATACTCATACGCCAATACAGACAGTAATGCTCAGATGAAAATGAAACCACGTCCATCTGCCGAAGTAGATTTGTGTCTACGATCGCTAAGTGTCGTCGAAATTACAGAGCTATTTTTTTCCACTATATTGAACGCAGCTGCTTCAGGAGGAAATGGGTCTGCCGCTGGGGTTGTTAGCGATGATGAAGCAATGTGATAGCACGATATTTATGCCGTCGTAAGCGGAGCCGAAAAAGCAAAAAGGAGTCAGATGTAAATGCGACATCGTGGGGTGGAAGTAACGTTTATATAGGAAACGAATTTCTTTCGGATTCGTTTGAACAGCTGCTTGTGTTCTCTTTCATTCAAGGAAAACTGCTGAAGAATAGCAAAGAAAAAGAAAATGACAGTGTTGAGAGGTACGACATCATTCTAACCCCCCCCCCCCCCCCTCACCATTTGACACTACTGGCCCGGCGGAAACAAGCCGCGATGCGCGTTTAGAGGAGCAACCAGCCGACAAGCGCTCATGGCGCTCATAAGAGCACCCCGAAACGTCCTCGAACATTTGAGGAAGGAATGATTCTTTAAATAGAAGTAGTATAGGGATTCAATGGGTCGGCTTTACAGGGGGCAGGAGGTTTCAAAGTTTATCTTGGTTCGGATGGAGCTGCGAGTAGGTGAGACTGTTATGAGAGGGCAGGGTGCAAGGGGCGGAAACAAAGGAAACCCTTGCTTTCATTTTTCAAGACGAGTAAAGGCAAGAACCACATAATGCTAAAAGAAATGCGCGTTGACGAAGATAACGAAGTGTCTGATGGGCCTGCTTTGCTATTACTATCCTCGACTGCGTTGCGGAGCAGTGAAGTCGTGCCGGATGTGGCAAACACTCGATGCCGTAAGTGGAAGGAACACCGGTCAGGGAATGATAGAAAAAAAAGCAATATGCATCTCCGAAGATCAAGGGCAGCTGTATAAAAGTTGAAGAAGCATGGTATACTTCTAGGTGCGAACGGTGATCTGTGAACTAACTCTTGTTGACGGGAAATAGTCAAACGATGGGGCCAAGCGATCAGAAAAAACCTAATAAGCGACGTTTACGATTCGCAAAATCTGTTCTTATAGGTAAGAGAACATCCTTTTTCAAGCTCACTCTATCCAAACGTCTGCTTGTTTTGAGCATTTTAATAGTGGTAATAGCCACAAAGTTGCAATTTGCTGATTTCCGTTGACCAATTTACACCTGTAAGCAACTTATCTTTTAATTTAAGGATAGAAAGACAAGCTGAAACGGCAAAACAGAAAAAATAAAATGTATTGCACTGAATAATATAATCTATAAGCGAACAACAGTATGCTCATTTTACCTAGCTAAAAACGTTCCGTTGATGTTTTCTCTTACCTAATGAATTTCAAGCGCTTTGGCTGCATTTAAGGTTTTGCTGTGGCAGTGGATTTTCTCATGTAATTCTAACTCGACTTATAGCACAAAATACCAACGAATTATGTTTTTCATTGTCGATCATCAAATAACCAAGGCCGTATTTGTTAGATCGAACCATCAACTGTTCTCAACGGGCCTGACCCAGCACTAGCACAGAAAACTCCTTACCGTATTTTTCTATTTTTCTCCTTGTTTCAGTGGAGTATCCACTCGGCTTTTACCTACCAAAGCGTTAGTTTCAACTTCATCTAAGTTACTGACAGTCGTAGCATTAAAAAATCTGGCATGCTTAGAGCGCAACAAACCATTGACACTGATTTCTACACTAATGCCAGGCGATGGCGCCAGAACTATCCCATCCTTAAACCCTAAAACATTAGCTGTTCGGTGAAGCCCAATATTTCCCAAGACACAGTTGCAAAGATCTATGCGCATTACCTAACCTAACCTCACGTGACATCGCTAAGTACTCCTCAGGGAGGTCGCACAAAACGGCATATCTAAGATAGATCCCCTTTCCCCCTACCCCCTTCACATTCTGCCTCCCCCCAACCTCCGTACCTATCTTGCTACGGAAGTACCCCAACAAGGGGACCAGTTGCCATCTGCAATGCCTTGCCCATAATGTCTGTCAGAATCGACTAAGCTATTGCCGCTGCTTTTGCAGTCTCGCTTCTCTCTCCTTAATTTTGTTGGGACGTCTGTCCATTGCAAGAAGCAGGGCTGTTTCCAAGCCTCTGAATCTCTTTGCTAAGATGTCAGTTCTACGGCGGCTCTCTAAAAAGTCGTAACGAACGACAGGACACAAAGAAGGAAAATTTTTTCTCCGTAATGGAACAAAGGCGGATCGCGCTTTGAGCTAGGCCCGTGTTTAGTATGGTAGGTCTGCCACACAACTTATCTGAGTGCACAACGCTAAGCCCGGTCGAGTGTTGGATCTTGGAAGAGCCCTAGGACAGTACGGAAATAGGCGGAAGAAGCGTTAGTGCATCCTCGCTGGATTGTTCGCCCGTCATTTGTACGTCCTTGCCGCTTCAGAAGAGAACAGATAAGTCAGTGCAAGGTTGAAAATGTTGGAGCAGAGGCGCGGCCTCACCGGCGGAAATTACCAGCAGCGGCGTCTATTTCTAATAATAGCCCCATAGCAGTAGTTGACTCCAAACTCGATAGGTCCTTCTTATATGGAGGTTCCGGTTTAATGGCCTGGACAACTCAGCCAGAACCTCAGCCCTATACTCTATTACGACACAAATAGGATTGTCAGGCTTGATAAGTTTCCACATGTAAATAGTAGAATGTGCTTCCATAATCCGTTACTATATTGCCGCAAATAAAGTCAAAATTTGGCTTTATATATCGGTAAAGAAAATAGGATTCGTATCGGATGTAGGCAGGGTATGACTACGAGCATTAGCTATATATGTATATACATATATATATATATGAATTGTTGCAATAATGGGCGCTACTGAAAATGCGAATGATCAGCGTAATGAATACGGAAACTAGTTTGTCATACAGGATTATGCTTGAGATGGTACAGTGGTAAAATATTTTTAGTATAGACACACGGTCCATTTGGTGCTGAAAAGAGCACAAAAAAAGTCCAGAATAAACAATGTTTTTAATGCAGTGGCACTTTTTAACATTTTTTTTCCATTATAAGGGACAAACGCGCTATGCACTGCATAGGTTTGTCCTGTTGTATAGCTATACAGAAGCTTAAGCAGGACAATGTAACATGACTATTGATACACTTTTCTCTGTCAGTCCCTCGAATATTACTACGCTGCAGAGCTATTACATAAAAGAGTGTAATATATCGTCCCTTGGGGCACATACGAACTAAAACTATAACCAGTATTACTAAGCTTGACTACGCTGACCATTCTGGCTGCATCTGTGATTACTGTGCATAATGTGATGATATCATTGCACCTAATGTAAGACGTTCTAGTACATATGGGACTAATATGGTCGTTTATCAAAGCTCCGTTTTTTGTCCTTTTTGTGTCAATTTCTTTATCTTATCTTGTCCTTTCAAACCATTCAGTCGAGGATACATAGTCCTATCAAATCACCACCATTTTAAGCATATAGACCTCGACGCATCAGGCCATCTGATCTTGTACTATGATGTTATAATAATAATACTACGATCCTCGAGGTCTGTTTTAATAGTCGTAGTTATGTCGTAATCTTGCCGAATTGTTTCTTGTCAGCCAAATTTGTCAATATGCAATTCCCTTTATGGCCTGAAGCCCAGACAGACATTATTCCCTTTGGTCCTGTAAGTTTAGCATGCCTAGTTTCTTTAACCAATGTTCGCTACAATGCCCAGCTAAATGGCGTTCCTACAGTGTGCTCAAACGAGTGGATCACATAGTTACGCCAGGCAGACTAGCTACTACAAATCGGCCACCCATACAGCCATATCAATAGACCTAATAGTGGCACTAACCCTCCTAAACCTTTCCCAGCGGATCGTAATCCCCTTCGATTAGTGATAACAAGCACCAGCTATTATTCTCGCGCTTACATTTGGTTAGTCTCCAAAAGATAGCAATTTTCGCTTCTTGCCTGGCATTCTTTATTGTAGTTCCTCTGATTTCTTCATAAAATGTGATAGGCCACGAGTACTTCGGCTATCAGGCTAAGTAGGCTTCGTACCCTTTTAGTAGTGATTAGGACAGCCTATTCTGTCTACTTCAGCAACTGCAACTACAACCATTCATATAAAGACCTTTGGTGATCGTGGAGTGGTGTTAAATGAAGGCCCCAGTCCTTCCTAAAACGGCCATGCATAGCATCACAAGCGGCAAGGGGTGGCCTTGACATGGACGTATCGGCATTGATCAAGGAAGAGAAGGGTGAGATCAAGAATTAGAATCAGTAAATAAATGATAGAATAAAGGTCTATAAAAAAAAAACAAAAAAAAGCGGGTAAATCGTCACTGACAGCTCTGGTTCTGTTGGCATGCTCCGCTGCTGCTGTCGCAACTAAAACTATCTAACGTTTAGCAAAATGCGCAAGGACGCAGTGATTTGTGCATAGTGCTTAAAAAGACAATAAGAGAGAAATAAAGATATCGCTGTTCTATTTTGATTACTACTAAGCGATAATATGAACCTGTCTTCCGCTTGGTGCACAGGCAGTACGCCTGTGGAAAGTCGCTATGAAAATGCTTGTTTCATAGATGTGTAGTAAAGAACGTCAAGGCAGATCGGGAGCGAAGAAACTCATAGCGGCTTGCATTGACCTTGAAAAATGAAGGTTACGTGACGACCTAATGACAAAGAAAGGTCGCCACTACCGGATAATAAACTGCAGCAATTGCAATTTCAGATCTGGGTTATTTCGGTGGTTTCGGCTAGTGATCGGATTACGGATACTGAACCGTTAGAGCTGTCGTATCTCCAGTGCTTCCTCCTATTATACGTTTATCTAGTTTATTTAGCTGAATAAATATCTTCAGTGTTGACTCTAACGTACCTTATGCAGTGGAAGCAGTCGTTTTTAGCCTAGATAATATGACGCTCCGTCCTAATGAACATGCCTATGCAAAGTGGAATGAATGTACGCCAAAAATCTGGCAAGGTGTACAGGTGTACCATATCAGGATCTTTAAAAGTATGCGAGTTGTACATTTTAAATATACGCATATTTTTAAAGTATTTTTCCCGCCTTCCAATGCTGACGAACTAAGTAATCCATGGCAAGTGGTCCTTCACAGTTTTCTCACTGTAAACATTGTTATAAAACTATCCTACCAAAATATAAACCTAGTTCTCATCCTAGGTGGTTCTCTCCGCATCATTTTAACTACGTTTTGTATGCAGTAAGATCAATGACGAAATTCTGATACAAGAAACTGTTCAGCAGCTCGTTACATATCTTCTCATGAGTCTTCATTTACATCTTCCATTGCTATTCTTCGGTGCCACTATATTGATTTTCAGATCCAGACGCTGATGTACTATCATGCAAGCACACTATCGCGAAACCATGAACAAAAGACGCCGCTAGACCTCGCTGCGGAGTTTGGTCGTCTAAAAGCTGCGCAACTCCTCTTGGGCTCTAACAGGTAATTCAATAATAAAACTTACGTTAACACGCTAACTGGAAGACTGAACGACGATCAGTTACGACCAATCTTGCGCCCAGCCAGCAGAGGACACAACAAAGCACTAAATGAAAATAAATGACAGAGTAATCATTGCATTAGGTTATTCATTCACTTACAGGTACACGAGATACGTCTTTGATAGGCATACATGCTTGTGTATGTGTAGGGTAGGGCAAAACTAGGCCTGCAGTAAGTCAAGATGAGTCTAGATATAGATAAAAGTGGACTTCCTATACGAGAAGACAGTACTTTTCCAATCGATACGAATTTTGCTTCACATTTTAATTTGTTTCTCAAGCTTGTATTTTTCGAATTGTACATTTAAACCTTCTTATGGTTCATCCTGTATACGTTCATAATGTCGGGCACATGAAATACGCTTACTTTGAACACGTCATCTGTAGACGAGCTACCGTAGCTATTACTAAACCATAATAAGAAAAACACTATAATAAAACGCTTGTTTTACTAACAAACTTACAAATACAAAAGCACACTAATTTGTATGTGCCCCACGGATTCAGGATCGGGAACTTTTTGGTTCTGAATTCCTGGCGCTATCGTCTACTGTAACACTTCGCAGTCGTTTAGAATAGGCTGCATGTTTAAGAAATGGTATCTCTTTCACCGAAAAATGACAGAACAGTTGTCTTATACTTAGAATGACGAAAACTACTTTGCAAGCTTTTCAGCTAATTTCCCCTGAGCTTTATCCTAAGGGTCTCCGACCACAAATTTGGTTCTGGAAAATGTTGGATTTTATATATTTCATTTTGGAATATATATGAATATATCTCAGCCAAGCTCAACAGAACAAGCCAATCAAAAATTGCTAACGGAGATCAGTAACGTGAGCATTTAAAAAGTTGACGAAAAAAAAAGACTCAATTTTTAGACCTTTTCAGAGATAAACTTTTAAGTCAATTATATTTTTATATTTTACCTTCTCTGAGTAATTTAGTTCTATGAATTTTCTTAATGCCCACTGCAATGAATAAAAATTGATCGAATAACATTCGCAGACTAAGTATTCCCAAAGGTGGCTAGCGAGTAGAGAGGCATAGACAGAACTAGCTTTTTCGTGCAAAACAACCCAAATCGACTTTGGTCTGTGTTAGATTATAGACACTACGAACGCAAAATTTCGTGCCAGTTATTATTTCGAATTCAATAGTAATTCGAGCACAGAAATTAAATACATAGATAGATAAAATTTGGTTTTATTCCTCGAATAAGGTTGACTTTTACAAACGTAGCTGACGTAGACTCAAGTCACTGTAGATAGAAACTATTTATTTGAGTCGTCCATCCTTATTGTTGAGAACTATGGTAGCTATCATTGAATTTACCTATAATAAATAAATAAATAAGGACCAGTTTCTCACCGACGGACAAACCAAACTAATTAATTCGCGAGACAGTTAACTTAGACTGTTCCTAAAAATTGATAACGAGCTGAGACAAAGAATATTTTGGCAGCTTATTAATTTACAGCACGAAGATTCGTTTCGATGTCCCAAAAGCCTTCGTGTTGCTCATTTTCATCCGCCTTTGCTCTCCTACTAACCATTCTCACGAGGCACACTCCAAAGAAAACGTTTTTGTGATCACATTTTACGTGTGCCATTATATCAACGTCGGCGCCTATCACGCGTTTGAGTGGCAACCGTAAATTTATAACGAACACGCAAGCATTCTGTCATGGCCGAGGAACTTGCGCTCATAATCTGGGCCTGCATTGACGTCAGCCTTATATGCCACTAAATCCAAACTAAAAAAATTTTAAAAAAACCCAAAATTCGACAGCTTGGCTATGCGAAATAGTTTAGGACTTAACGGTTATCGATTAACGGTTCCCGACAAAATGCGGACGATCTATTTGAATCACAACTCTTTGCCAATGAAAAGCGTACCTATAGTAAAAATTAGTAGATCACATTGTCGAGTCCTTCGTGTCGCTAAGCGACAATATTTGTGACGTTATGCAGTATTTACTAACTCTTAAACTCTATCAAATTTTCTCTTTTCCTGTTTGTTGTATACATTGAAAATATCAATAATTTACGTTACTAACATACTCTTGTTACTGAGATTTAAGCTTTATTCAAAAATTACCCATCCGTCAATGAGACGTGGACCTTTAATCAATAATCTAATGATGATTAATTAGGACGCATTAACTTCAGGAGTCAATAACTCTCAGGAGTATTGCGTATATATCAGAAGTATATGTTTATCTTAAGTCACTTTCGCTCTTTAACGAATATTTCATAGCCCATTTTAAAACTGATCAAGATATGTTTGTTGGGCTCGCTTGCTGAAGAGCACCTTTTCAGATCCGGTGTTCGTTTGATCACGGCCTTCTTTAAGGCATGAAATGCCTTGCAATGCCAACTCACATCAGAGATAAATTGATACTCATATAGGGGAGCTTTGCTTTGAACACGTCTAGACAAATTCAGCTTTTTACTACAGTGAACAATACTCACATATATATATATATACTTATATGCATATATATTTTGTATCGTTAAACATTTAAATAACTATGACTATTAGTTTTATTACTGGTCAGCTGTTTTTTTTGCAAACTGAACTAAGTTAACTTACGAAGTGCTGTGTACTCCTTTAACAGATGCCGCCAACTTCTGCAGGACTCAAATCAAGACATAGCTGATAACAGCAGGACGACAGCCTTACATCTGGCCGCACGGAATGGACACGTTGAGCTCGTTAGGTATGCATAGCCTCTTCTTGAACAACCTGTATTTAACAGTAATGCTTTGCCCACAAGTAAACTTGCTGTCCGCCTACTAAACACGCACTGCATCCGCATATTTTTGATTAGACCTTAAGTGGTTGTGTGACTCAGTAAATTCGTTTTTGCCTCAGTAAAAACAAACGAATTCTCATTCGAATTCTCACGAAAGCCATGCTCGAGTTATATGCAGGTACATTTGTACTGCACCTTAACCAGTCCTGCCCGATGTCCCTACAATAGTGCTTCCTTACGCCTTTTCATTACCAAAACAGGGCAGTATTACGATGCAACTGCCGCCTCGCGAAGACGCGATTGCTTTATGCCAACATATATAAATATAGTAAATACCTGCAGGATCACAGATACCATGACGTGAAGCTGGTACTCGGACAAATTGTTCTTTACCAAGTTGCACATTTTGTACCGGTCCTTACAATCGGCTAAAAAATCTTGGACATGGACGGATTCACATTCTTCTCTGCGCACGGAAACAGTGTCGTTCGTTTTAAGGGTGGCATAAACGATGGCTGTGTCTATTTTTGCATAGATGACCTCCCTACACATTTGCTGGTTATTCACTTTATAGTTTTTATAGGAAAACGCAAGTAAGCAAAAAACAGAGCGGAAACCTGAATATGGCCCTGTTATTACCAAGGGCGAGGAATCTTTTCATGTTTGTCTATTTCAGCCTTGGTCGACACGGCACAATGCTTTGCTAATGTTTTATAGTTGTTTTCTATTTTATGTGCCCGTAGTCTTACCTTTTTATGGGAAAAGTCTTCTTGGCTGTTCGTAGCTGGACCATAACTTTTTTGCCCTGTGTTCAGGAGATCCTTTTTTTTTTACACGATATCGAACGCTTTGTTTTGTAGCGAAAATCAAAAGAATGAGCGCAGCTTTTTTCGTAAACCCAGTAGAAGGCCGACGATTACTTTTGTCTATACTTTTCTTGGAATAGTCAGATTTGCTTAGCTACTGCAGCCCTAATGGGTGCGAAGTGAAAGATAACAAAGACAAGAAGCGGTGGTATTTTAACATCGCTGCCTTTATTGAATCTCCGTCTTTTTGTATATCTGCTGTGGTAAACCTAACGTGGGGATTATATTGCAAGTAAACAAACAGTTTTGTAGAAATACAGTACTAGTAAACAAATTCTCAACCCTATTTCTGCTTAATGGCCATTATCACCCTAAAGGTTTTACCACGATCGGGGCAAACTGTGAAGCACAGCGCACGGTCTGTTGGATACCGTAAATAATGCAAAATTAAGTTAAATAGACCGGGAAGGTACTATAATATTATTGCATTATCTTTTGTATCGATTGATAAATTCATGGGACCGTTGTTGCGATTAGGCTTGTACACGTGTACACGACGTAATCGGATTTAAGGTTCGCGTCATTGACAAGCAAATATATTTGCTATTCAATGTATTCGAATACATTGCCTCTCGTCTGACTGCATTTATCAGACCCTGAACCGCACACAGATTAAGCTACTAATCCTGCGTTTCTACACGCTTAGAACCATTAGTACAGCTTCCTACACAAGATAGCTTTAGGTGTTCCCGTTGAGCCTGGTACACTTTGGTGAAAATCCCAAAGTATAAACATTTTATAGCCAAAGAAGTGTTATCATACTACGTAGGTCTGTCCAACTGTACGTGCTGTTATTTCAACACCTGCTCGTCCTGGAAAACTCACTTCAGTCTGAGTGCTCGCTGGGTCAGCGCTGTGTTGGTTCTCTACATCGACTCTGCACGTCGAGATAACGTCGTAGCCTATAAGTAATGTCACACCTCCATGCGAATGAGTCGACTAATTCACAAAGAAGTAGACCAAGGAAGGATTTTTGGAGTATCATTGGAAATAGCCTGGTTTGGCCCAACAGAGGTCATGTCGTCCTTGGTTGCCAGCGGCGGTGCCACCGATCCGAAGGCCTGTTTGTTCTTGTAAGCACAACAGGCTAGCTCTCCAAGCATTGCTTCCAGTCTTAGCTTCACCTATTTCTCTGTTTCCGTTTCCCTTAGCCTACCTACAGCTGCTCCATGTCAGCGTCGTCTGAACTGGAACCCATGTGCCAACGGAACGCTGATATCCAAGGAATACGAGTCTCGTTTACTTCTCTACCTTCCGCTTCGTCGATCCTGCCAAAGAAATAGTCCCGAAAGGACCAAACCCCTGCCTGACATGGTCTTGCTTGGTTTAAACTCGAATGAGTGAATAGTACCGCCGACTGCCTTCTATTCATTTACGTTCTATTTGAGCGCATTTTTTGTGCGAGTGTTTTGTACGCAGGTATAGGGGGCAATGGGTAAATTTGGTAAAATTGGGTAAATGGGACAAGGGATTGTGACAACCATCGGGAGGCCATTGATTCAATGGAAACGTTAAGTATGTATTTCGGATACTTTGTACGAAAATAAAACGATCCCTTGAAGAAAGAGTTCCATTATGCGTTAACGCATATTTTGTTAAGGCACCGCTTCACCATCGGCTTATCAGCATTGACACTACCATGGAACTACAATTACAGAATCATTACTAAACTCTTTCTGTTCATTTCTGCTTGTAATCGTAATAACTACAATCACCATAAACTGATAAAACTTACTCACCTGCCGACTGACCGTTGGACCCATTGAAATGAAAATTTTAAGTTAAAAATCAACAAGACCTTTACATACATATATAACTGTCTAATACTATTTTCGCTGCTGCTGTTACTGCCACCAGTTTTATTCATTCCATGCGCTCTATAAAGACGAAGAAGCTTTTACTCTTACTTCTAATCCTATTTTAACTATCACACACGACCCCGGTCTCAACTTTTTCCGCTCACTGAATTAGATACAATAGAACAGTCTACTGGTAACCGAGTGTAGGAAACGCAAAATATGGTTTCAATAATAATGACTAGCTAGAGCAAGTTTTTCAGCGATGCCCACCAACTACTAGCTTGCGCCGCCGTCCCAAGTTTTCACGAGCTTTCTGAGGAGACGAACGAAGGACGACTGGCGAAGGGGATTTTCCAGAGCAGAAAAAGTTTAATCTCTTTTTTCGTTTCCTTGCAAGTTTTCTTTCGGCGAAGGGGCAAAAACTCACAGAGTAAAAAGCTTCAACGCTGCCGCATTTTCGACTCCCACGATTTTTAAATTGAGGCAGCTCGTAGTCACCGCAGAGACAGGACCGTATCCTGTTGAGCAGCAGGTCCTGTCGACATGCTTGACGCCCATAACGAAGCTCACGAACGACGATACAACGACCTGAAGTAGCAGCAGAATAACGTTGGCGTGGAATATATTTCTCCGTTTTTTCCCAACGCCATCTTTGTCGTCGTTTTCTTCTTTTCGTTTTCTTCTTTGGACCATTTTCCCGTCTATTTCCCATCTTCATTGTCGTCGGCAAAGCGCAGACTGTATCGACTATGAGGCAGAGAAAAGAAAACCTATACGAGTTCATTGCTTCCGATACCCCACAGAATCTCTCGAAGCCCTCCGGAACTTGCCAGGAGTTCCTAAACAACCTCGCGGCCTCCCGGTGCAACCCGTGTAAGAAATCCGAATTGTTCTTCTATTTTGGGCTGATCGTAGAATCGTCTGGCTGAGAACTCAATCCAGTCGTTTTCATGCGTTTACGCCGACGGCGTTCCGACATGGGCAAAATCGTCGTCGTCGTTTCACTGTTTGCGATCTAGAGGCATGTATGAATTTGCATCGATTTCATCGCGTTGTGCAGTGTCATATTCCTTTCCTCTATTACAGAAGCCGAATGGATAAAAAGGGCGTCACCGGCTAAGTTAAGCCAAAGTAAGGAAGTTCGAAAGGAAACAATCGTAGGTAAAGACAAGTAAAGGAAAGAACCAAGCGTTTCTAAAAAGCGAATAGGACAATGTAGTATTCGTATGATAAATATTTAGTCGCCAAAATCACTGAGGAAGACTTTATAAAGGATGGCACATCTTTTTGTCGCTGCTCAATTAAAGGTGACGATCATTTTTACGTAGGCGTTTCTTTATTTCTCTGGTAAATACTATACTTTGGTCTTAGCTAAAAGGCCAAGAGATGAGACGTATGCGATATGGAAAAATCTTTGTCAGTGATAAACTTTGTAGGTTTATTATATATATTTAGTTTTATTCGACTATCTTAGTTATCTTGAGGAAGTTTTATATTCAATTTTCAAAGTGTTGATATACCACACTTGTGAGCATATATTGATCTATCCGCATTGTTCACCATATATCTATTCCATATTAGCTGTCCCGTTACATAGCAGATCAACAATTGGCATCAATGTTGATTCTTCACCTATCTTCGATAAAGCCGAACTTTTCAGACAAAGCCATCTTGTGGGCCGAAGGACGATTACTTTTAAATTATATTTGCGCAGTGTTTCTGCAATACCATTCCTCTAGAGAATGCCACTACACCTATCTATATACACCAGATAGGGCACCTTCGATTTATTTTATGTAGGCTTTTATACTGTCTAAATAATCGAATATTTCTTCATTAAGTTGATTTAGCAACGAACACAATAGCTGGTAATCTAATTGAGCAAGGACTGGAAAAAGGACAACACAGAAAGTCTCGGAGAGGAACCGGTATTTTGTCGGAAGGGCACAAAATGTAGGCAAAACAAACCCTTGCACGACCAACAGCCGTTCCCGATTTGCGTAATGATTATTTGACCTTTTAAGTAAGAATTGTCTTCAATTCATTTTGCTATTCACAATGCGATATATATATATACATAGCGATCATTTCGTTACTCGGAAGTATTAAAGGTTCTCAACTAGCAACCGACTCTTAGTCTGAACTCATATATAATTGAATCCCCCCGGATTTGGACCGTGAGCTACTACGAGAGGGTTATCCACGAAAAAGGTCACATTAGGTTGCTCGTGACTAACCTGCATCAGACCATACTATTTTCCTCCCATAAAGTTTAGAGCATTATTTTTTTCATGAGGAG